GGAGGGTATAATAAAACTATATACATGTACATGTAGAATATTCACCTCTGATTTATAATGATATTTGTTTTGTACACACTGACCATGTTTTATAATATTCTAAACAAATTATTTGATACTCAGGCAAATATTCACTACTGGTAAGATGATCACACACATGAACATGTCTGTGTATGAATGAAATGAATTTTCCTTTTGATCATGTTCCTAGGAAAATAATTATTTTCATAATTTTTTCATCAAAGGATTTACCATATAAGATGAATAAAGAAAAAGTAAGACCAGTAAACCAAAACAGGACCAAATAGGCCATGACTGAAGTTCAAGTGCACTCTGCAAGAAAGTGGACAGCCTAGATTTTGTTCTTTTCAAGGTAACCATTCTTTAAAATATGAAAGTAAATTAAGAACAGATGATACAAACAAAAAATGGATGCCTGGATTGGTATATATTTTTTGGCATAATTTAATTGCAAATTAATGATGCTATTAATAAATTTCTAGAATATTAAGAAATTGTAAACCTTCTGTGATGTTCAAAAGTCTGCCCTCTTGAAACTATCCCTATTAATCTATACAAATATTTTTCACTTCAAATTCCATTTTTATGCAAATATGAATTAAAAATTAAAAAGTACTTGAAGAAAGTTATTAATTTTACTGATTTAAACATGACCCCAGTTGTTATTTTCAAATTCTCATAGTTGCCAACTCACCCGATTTCGTCGGGTCACATCCGATTTTTCAACCCGTAACCCGATTATTTTTTATGACCCGGCGGGTCATGCTTATCACCCGATTTTTGCCGAACAACCCGAAAATCTCCCGATTTCCGGATTTGGTTCGTAAATTAGGTTGCACTTTTAACTTCCAGTTACAACCCAAGCTTAGATCTACGTAAACAATGCCGATGGAATAATTATCTGTGCAGGTGTAAACAATTAACTGGGTTGTTTTGACAAATCAATGCTTGAAGTCAATTAAAATGGCTTCCGATAGAACTACATCGTTATCAGGGCCAACACGAACAAATTGAACCAAACACATGTCTCTGATTGAACCAAGAAAAAGAGAAATGATATTTATGTACATATCAAGGAATCTTGGGGGAAAAAACTTTCATTCTAGATAAAATAAAGTGATCAAAGACAGTGTAGGCCTAACTTCAAATTTAAAACATGTTGCAGTAGTTAACTAATTAAGAGAGAGGAAAAACAACTTCAAAACTGAAATTCGTATACTTTCAAATTTAGCAGAAACTGAATTAAAAGGCTTTTTAAAAAAAATGCACAATTACTTCAGGTCAGTACTGAAATATGAAACCTTCAATTTTCATTTTTAACATGTAAATTAAAGCAAATTATGATTTTTTTGTCATAGTAAATTAAATCCTTTTTCAATAAAAGAATTCTCAAATACTTTGTATATATGTATTTAATCATGGTAAATATATCTTGAATGTCGTTACGCGTTATGACCAGATTTTTTACTTTCCAAATCTGGTCATGACCAGATTTTTACATGCTGGAGGTTGGCAAGTATGAATTCTTTGACAAAAGTTTGTATCATCTGTCCTTAAATTGTTAAAAAATATTTCAGTTTTATATCTAAATTTAAACCTTGCTTATTTCTTTTTTTTTTCAAACAAAATTTAATACCTGTCCAGTAACAGAAGAATTATTATACTAGAATAAAGAAAACAACTTTCTAAAGGATTACATACACATTTAATTAGCTTGAAATCAGTGTATATTGGAAAATGCAGGAATTATTTACCATTGCAGGTTGAGAAGGGATGCCATATTTTAGGTTTGAAACCAGGCAAGTGAAAGCTGAATTCCAACCTTCTTCAACATACTTGTACCCACTGTCTTCAAGATATCAGTGTTTGAGATGTCAAAGTTCAAATATAATAGGAACATGTTTATCATATTATGTGATGGCATCCTCAAATCTTATGCTGTATAACAATATGTTTTAGAACTTATCAAGCTTTATCCTGTACCTTGCCAAAAAAACTCAACTCAGCATAATTCTCATTACAGTAACTAATTATCAGTGTTACTTGCGTATGTCAATGTAGGTCATTACTGGTACATGCCTGACCAACAAAAACTCTAAAATTGAAAAATCAGAGACAAGATTTTCAGAGCAGCAGAAACAGTAGAATTTGTCGTGTAAATCTTATGATGTGTACCTTAGTTGAGAATACATGTACTTTAAATGTTGCATATATAAAAAATAAAAAAAAGCGAAAAGTTCTCTTGTTTTCAGAATTTATATTTACATGTGAAAAAAAAGAAAAGGAGATTGATATAGTTGGTGTGATGAGATGTTGGCAGGAACCTAGTAAAATGAAAGGAAGAACTTCCTTAAAATGATACTTGTGGGGGACAGTGTCTCATGAGGGGGGGGGGTGCATTGTTTCAATACAAAAGATCCATTGCAAACCTAATTATTAATTATATGCCAAACACTATGTTTAAAGTTTTCCATTGTTGGATATTTATGTTTAAATCCAAGAGATAACTTACTGAAGAGGATGTGATTTTTTTTTAAACCAATGTAATTTTTCTCAAGTTTAAAGCCGTGTTTCATAAGTTTTAAAAGAAAAAATCAGAAGGGGGGGGGGTAAATTTTTGACTTCATTCAAAGTATCTGTGGTTTGCATTGGGGGGGGGGGGGGCATTGTTTCAACTGACTTTACAGAATACAAAAGATCCATTGCAAACCTAATTATTATTAAATTATATGCCAAACACTATGTTTAAAGTTTTCCATTGTTGGATATTTATGTTTAAATCCAAGATAACTTACCCAAGAGGATGTGATTTTTTTTTAAACCAATGTAATTTTTCTCAAGTTTAAAGCCGTGTTTCATAAGTTTTAAAATAAAAAATCAGAAGGGGGGGGGGGTAAATTTTTGACTTCATTCAAAGTATCTGTGGTTTGCAGTTGCCCATGAAATTAATAAATAATTATTCAAAGTAACAAGTTGAAATGAGTAAAATATTATGAATGTCCTGCTTGTTTTAGTTTCATTTCAGAATTTTTCAAGTTTGACCAAATCTTGAAAAAGTAAAAGCCACAAAGTTTTGCAATTATTTGACATAGCATTACAAAATGTATTATATTTTTGCAACATCATAAAGATGCAAATTCAAGATGCCAAAAAATTTAGTTCACATTCACATTTAATTCATTACACAGGTTTTATAAAAGAGTAAATAAGTGTAGTTTTGGGAATATTGTTTCGTTAAACGCAGCCATTTTGGTTGAAAATCTGGTATTCCTGTCTCCATGGTAACAAATCTTGCATTCCTGTTTCCATAGTAATAGAGAATGGATGGGGAAAATTTTATTTCATATTAGTTTCAATCTAAGGGGATAGTTTCAGGAAACTTGAAACATGCCCTGGTTAGTCTACATGTACTTCAAAATTGTCAATTTTACGGAAAGGGGGGGGGGGCATTTTGTGCAGGTGTTCACAGTTCTCCTATCTAAGAACATATTTACATGTATTAATGCTCTTGGAAATGGGATGTGAATATTTTTACATGACACTTCTCCTAGATATGGACTAATTTTACTGTAAATGACATCAAAACAGGTAGAAAGGAACATTTCTTTTCTATATGAACTTAATGAAATGTGCGTATGTTCCTTGAAATACAGAAATTTTGCAGATTTTGGGTAATTTTTCATCAGCTTTTTAAAAAAATGTTTAAGTGTCCCATAAATATTTTAATGTGTTTAAACTAACTTATATACCATCTATACAATGCACTGTTTCCTGAATTTCAAATCAGTGTGCAAAGTATTAAAAAATCGCTTTGAAAAAGGGTCTAAAATGGTAATTTTCTCAATTTGGCAAAATGCCAAAATCCCCAAAGCTAAGCGTTGTTAAGCCATTATGTAGAATTACAGTTTTTAAAAAATTATGTTGTTATACTAGAGAGGAATAATGGTAGTTTTGAAACAAAAGTAGATTTTCCAATTCTCTTGTATCTTTTAAGCTCATTTTTATTCAGTAAAACCTATAAAATCATGTTTTTTGGTCAAATTTTATGAAGAATTTACAGGGGAAACAATAGGTGCCGTTACCATGGCAACGAGACATTTTTTGAAATAAAAAAATATAAAACCATTAATGATGTGACAATGTGAGTACACACAAAAAGTTTCATAGAATTTGAAAATGTAGCGTGGCCAAGCATTATTGATATTGTTTGATAATTACAGAGAATTGATATTAAGATGTTGGCCCAACATAGGTCCAACCGAGTAAGTGTTGACGTGGATCAAGACCATTGTGTGTTGAGTATGAAATGTTGGCCCAACGTAGGTCTAACTGAGTACATGTTGACACAAAACATTGCCACTTATTGTTGGTTATTCAATATTGGCCCAACGTTGGCCCAGCTTAATAAATATTGACAATATAATGATTCATTGCTCTGTGTTGGGCGTGCTGGACTGAACTGGAGTTGGTCCAATAGTAGGAATATTGGGATTACTAGTACATGTACAGGTAGCCTGTAATGTTTGAGATGAAATGCTGGTCCAACGTACGTTGGCCCAATGTTGCGAAAAGTATTCATCAATTTAGATTTGTCTATTGTAAATCGATGGTAATGATATAAGCAACTCATTATAAACATGTGATCTATATCATATTGAATGGAAAATATGAGACAATCCTTATAAGTCTCTGAATTACACATAGTAATTTTGTATCTTGGTAGATTCTATATTTAGCATCATTGAATCAAATTTAAAGTGCTGTGTTTTGTGTTTTGCATGTTTTGGGCTCCAAAATAAATAGGTCACTGGTGAAATTCACTGGCTCGGCAGGTGACTCATAGGTCTCCAAGGAAACCGTCATCTTATTCAGTTTTTTTAAACCGCGCACTAGCACTGGTTCTCTGCCCTTGATTCCAGTCGCTGCCGCTAGGTTTTTTAGGGCGCTTGCGCCCGTGAACCAATGTCAGGGTACCAGTCTAACCGCGCACTTGATCAATGCAAAGCGTATGTTTCTGTTTAAGTGAACGCAAGAATTTTAATCCTTTCAATGTAAGTAAAGCTTTTGTTTTTGTTATTGAAATAATTAATAATGTGAAATGCACAACATTGTAATGGCCTGCATGTAGGCTTTCAAATTATTGGTAGCGGGTAGCTGATTAAACAATTTTAATTGATGACGATCTTAATTTTTATAGGAATTGGCGGGCATGAACAAAACAGATATGTCCGGATCTGTAAGTGAACGCAAGAATGTTAACCAGTGAGATGTAAGTAACTATCTTGTATTTATATTAATAATGTGAAATTCAATCTTAAGGATTGCTTTAAAAATATGTGTGATGCTGATGAACATTTGAAAATACTATTTTGATTGATGACAATCTTAACGTTTACAGGAAATGCCGGGATGGAAAAACCCTCTTCACTCTGAGACTATTGATGTGGCATTTTCTGTATATGGAAGGGACTGATTTATATGTGTAGGAAAACATGGATTCTAAGAACAAATAAACAACAGAAAAAGTGATAAGTGAAATATGACCTTTCAGAACTGTACAAGTAGAACTTGAAGACTCTTATATCAAAGCGATATTTAGTAGTGGACATAGTGATGTGGAATGTACTTGGAAAACCTTGAACTTTCTACCTCTTCCCTCTTTTAGTTACATTCCATGGAATACTTTAATGAAAGTGAAAGTGGCAAAGAATACATTGTGATACATTTTAGGAGGAAAAAAGTATTTGACCAATCATGGTGAAATTAATTGTGTCATATAATCTGGGAAATAAAAATTACAGAATTGAATTAATTTTGTAAGACATTTGTATTGAGGAATAATTGTGCCAATGATATTTCAAGAAACAGCTTTGTATCAACGTTGAATCATCGCCGAACGTTATAACTATATTTTGAACTGAGGTCCAGCGTAGGGCCAACGTTACAAAATATTTGGTTAGCATTGGTACGTTGGAATAGCGTTGTACCAACGTTGGCGTTTCAACAAAAGCGTTGTACCAACGTTGGACCAACGTCGGACCAACGTCATGATTATATTTTGAACTGAGGTCAAACGTTGGGCCAACGTTACAAAATATTGCGTTGACGTTGGTATGTTGGAATAACGTTGTACCAACGTTGACAAATAAACAAACAGTATTGTACCAACATAGGCCCAACATGTTGGGCCAACGGCGCGCCAATGAGCAGTAGGACATTGGGCCAACGTAAATTGCCAACATTGGCCCAACATAACCAACATTGTTGGGCCAACGTTGGGCCAATGTCCTCATGCTATCTGGGTATCAGTCTAGTCGAACCCTCAAACGGGGGTAAACGGATGTTGGAAATCCGTACCCTCAAACGGGGGTACGGCGCATGCGCAGACACTCAAAAAGTGCCGTTTTCACGGAAAAAACGTGTGGTCCACAAAATATGCTTGTGCAAAGTGATGGATTATTTCGTAGCTCTGTATGTACTCAAATTTGATAGATTAAAGATGTTTAAAGAGATTGTATTGCGAAAAAGTATATGTTTATTGTAAAAATCGAGACTTTTTCTCTCCCAAAGTTAGCGTATTCTGTGCCTTGACCTCCATGTTTGATACAACTAGATTTTTTATGCATAATTTAATAAAAACGGATGAATAAACAAACAATGTTTTGTTTAAAGTTAAACTACATATAATTCCGTTCCCCGGTATTACAAATTTTGTGTAATGAACATGTTATTAATTATTTTTCGACACTTTCTTCTGTGCCCGTCCGAATTTCCTCTGTCCTGTAAACAAACTTTTGTGCTTCAGAAATGAGGTAAAAAGAAACGAAAAGTAATTTATTATTCTTTTTAAATTGAAAACAAAGGTGTAGACGAATCATTTTTGCATGTTTGTGATTTTTAAAAAATATATATTTTTTTTAAATAAGAAGAGTTATCGTTCTTGACTTTCGAGCGTTGCATTAAGGGAAGGAAAACCCTTGTTTGGGGGTATACCCCCGTTTGAGAGTTCGACTAGACTGGTTATTCTTTATATTACATGCTTTGATTCCACCAAATGATTCCACGTGCTCCAAGCCCTGCTTCTGTCTAGCTATTTGTCCCGCCCTGCACGTGATTTTTTTAACCGCGCCAAAACATTGATGGGGAAATAAAGTACATTGTCAATTTGTAATTTTATCTCGGACAAAGACATTGGAAATGTAACTATTAGTAAATAAAGTAGTTCAAGTACATTGATTAAATCCGCTTATTGGTCCGATTCTAATCGCTAAAAATATATATTCGTTCTTCTTTTTGAAAAATAATTGTCTATAAATTATTTCAACTTTTGTCAAATTACCCCTGCGAGGTGAAATTCATAATTTCAGGAACTTTTATGAATCGTTCATGAACATTCATGATGTGTTCATGACTGGTTCATGACTGGTTCATAAAGATGGTTCACGAACTTTATTCATGAATATATTCATAAAATGTAGTTCATGAACAAATGATGAATATATATGAATATTGGTAGTTTTCATTTTAAAGACAGAAAAAATGTAGAGTTCAAGGTATTATGAATGTTCATGAATTTTCATGAAGACTAAAATAATTGACAAAAATGATTGACAGAAAACACTCAATACTCTCATAATACAACTTTTGCATGTAGATGCAATTGTTGAACAAGCCCCTGGTATAATTTATAGTTAATAACATTCTTTCACCATCTGAAAAAATGAATCATGAAATCTCTAAACATTTCGTGTTTTTATTTGATTTCAATTAAACAAACAGTGCATCACCATTGACAGCATTTTTTTTTCAAATTCATTACTTTTGTTTCTTCATAATTTAAATTAAACAGTTATATTCATCATAATGTGCTTTAATTTAATGTCGTTTTTCATCACACAACTTTGTTCGACCGAATTTTCTCTAACATCAAACTTTAAACAAGTTGTTGGAAAATGAAACATTCTGGAAAATGAACTTTGTGAGCTTCGTAAAAAACGTTTTATATATTTATTAACAACTAAAAAAATTATATCACTTGTCTGTACTGTACCGTATTATTCCTGGATCGAAACGCTATATATGTACATTTCAATTTTGGTGCAGTTAAAATGTCAAAAGTTTCCCTTGCTTCGTGCGTAAATGATAGAGCACAGACTGCATGGTTGTAAAGTATCTATGACATAATCCACATTCGTATTTTGTAGTTTTAATTCTCCTATGCGTCTTCACAGCTCAGAATATTCTGTCTGAGGGCGAGAGATTGTTATTATCATGTCATAGGGGGCCGCCATACTTGCTATACGAAACTAAAAGTCAATACATGTATAATTTATGACGTAAAAAAATCGAATTCTTCATTGATAAAACTTATTTTGATATAAAAAATTGTATTTTCAGTGAAAAATTATTCAGATAGTGTTTGTAATTTTTTTTAAAACAGAATTTATTTTTTATCTTGGAAATTCGAAACTAACGTATTTCTTAGCTCTACCGTACGATTTGGGTGCGTCGATTTACCCAAAAGGACCCAAAAGAACCCAAAAGGACCCAAAAGGAACCCAAAAGGACCCAAAAGGAACCCAAAAGGACCCAAAAGGACTCAAATTAATATACTGTAATACATTGAAAATTAATTATTTGAATTAAATGATGAATATTATATTATAAATTTACCTAAAAGTTGGCAAAAAAATACATTTAAATATGTTGCAACTTTTCTTAAAGAAATAACATACGACTTTTATAACACATCAAACACTAAATCTGGTCAGATATGCTTTGATTTCTTTTAGCTGAAATTAACAAAGTACACTGTATTATTCTATTTCTCCTTCTGTTTTACCATATCTTACTATATGATATTTGATAAATAAAGAAATAAGTTTTATTTAATGACATGTTCTAGGCAATGGTATGGGGGATGGGGGGGGGGGGGAGGCTCCCACCCCACCCCAAACACACACTTTACCCTCAAAAAACTAGTTTTAGTTTTAATAAAATATGAAAGTATTTATTATATATCCATTTATTCTCATTATTTCAAGTCCTTTTGGGTCGTTCTTAATTATGTTCCCCAAACGAAGTTGGGGAACATATTGTTTTTACTCTGTTTCTTATTATGTTCCCCAAACGAAGTTGGGGAACATATTGTTTTTACTCTGTTTCTTATTATGTTCCCCAAACGAAGTTGGGGAACATATTGTTTTTACTCTGTTTCTTATTATTATTATTATTATTATTATTAAGGTCTTCCGTTTCCAACGGAAGACCTTATTGTTTTCGTTCGGTTTCTTTTTCCCTATTATTATTATTATTATTATTATTTTTTTTCTTACCGATTTTTGTGCAAGCGAGTTCTCGGAAACGGCTAGGTCGATTTTCACGAAACTTTCAGATCTGATAGATATTGGTCTGAACCTTATTGGAAATTTTTTATAAGTACGTCGTCACTTCCGGTCGTGAGATATGGACGATTTACTGATTTTAAGAGGGTCAGCTTGTCCGGGCAATCACTAAAAAACGAATGAAGATATTGACTTGAGATTTTCAGTGAAGGTAGAGGAAGGATTGCTTAATTGCTTTTTTGAGTCTATATCTTTCCAGCGCAAAAGGCGTTGAAGCTCGACTGAGCTCATTATAATTATAATATTTCTGACCATCAAATTTTGTGCACGTGATTTCTCGAAGACTACATCATGGATTTTTATGAAATTTGCAGGAAAAATGTGTTGCTATCTGCAGTTACTATATCCTGGAGATTTTTTGGAAATTTCTTTCTGGTGCCAAGTTACGGACAATTATCTGATTTTAAATTGACATTTTGTTCGTGGATAATCTAAAGAACGGTTAAAGATATCACTGTGGAACTTTCAGGGATTATAGATCGTGATAAGAACTATCCAAGACGCGATCTTTTGTACGTCGTCTCTACTTCCTGTCGTAACGGCATGCAAAGAAAAAAAAGTCAAAATTTTAAAATTTTTTGTTTTTCAATATTTTCAAATCATATTAGTATGGTTTATAGAAACATTTCTCTTTAGGCTGAATATATAATTTGTTTGTAAATTGATGAATTCGAACTCGAGATATTAACATTCAAAAGTCTGAAGCGTGATCTTAATGGCGGCGGTCTTTGTCAATTCCGACATTTCGCAATAGGGGTTTACAGAGGCAGCCGAGCGTTTACTTGAACGAAAGTAACATAAGGAGCAATGAAATGTGTAGGGATACTTGGATTGTCACGTCGTAGGTTCGTTGCAATTCGGTGTCAAACTACATTTATTATCCAAGGTCTACTTACAAGTCTTCTTTAATTGGTTTTGGTTGTTTCTCAAAGTAGAAATAGAAAAGAATTAATGTGCAAACGAAGTACAATATCTATATCTTTTGTTTTGCATAACGGTAACACATAGCTTAAATCATAGTTAAAATTAATAGTTTTTCAAGAATGTAGTAGGTAAAAAACGTGACCACTGTTTTCCCATGCACACTTGTGTCATATTAAATCAATAGAAAGGACAACTGTTACAATAAGAAAATATTTTATTTTTAAAGATAGCAATTTTTCAAAGACCGTTTAATTGACCTATATAAACATTTTATTTTCTCAATGCAAGTTATTGAAGATAATAGAATCTTATTTCTTGACCCTCGTAGGGCGATCGAGGCATTTTTTTCGGTGAACATACCACCTTTTTCATGAAAGTGTAAGTAATCGGCATTGTCAACTTTCGTGATTGAAAATTGAAAAATTAGTGACCCTTCTTTCATAATTCCAAGACAGATTAACTGTTGCAGAATTATATGTACATACAAGTGAAGTAAGAGTAGTTGTTCAATAGCGTAATCGATAAGCGTATTGGATTTTCACGCTAGTGACCCGTTTCAATTCCCAATGTGTCCAAAATA